AGAGTGTCACTTTGTCACTGTGTCAGAGTGTCAGAGTGTGAGTCAGTCAGAGTGTCTCTGTGTCAGAGTGTCAGAGTGTCACTGTGTCAGTGTGTCACTGTGTCAGAGTGTGAGGCAGTCAGAGTGTCACTGTGTCACTGTGTGAGTCAGTCAGAGTGTTAGTGTGTCAGTGTGTCAGTGCATCAGTGCGTCAGGGTGTTAGTATGACAATGTGTCAGAGTGTCAGTCAGTCAGTGTGTCAGAGTGTCAGTCGGTCAGTGTGTCAGGGTGTCAGAGTGTCAGTCGGTCAGTGTGTCAGTGTGTCAGAGTGTCAGTCAGTCAGTGTGTCAGTGTGTCAGTGCATCAGTGCGTCAGGGTGTTAGTAGGACAATGTGTCAGAGTGTCAGTGTGTCAGTGTGTCAGTGTGTCAGAGTGTCAGTCGGTCAGTGTGTCAGGGTGTCAGGTTACCTTGCTCTGGTCGTACCCCTGCAGCAGCAGGAAGTATGGGCAGTGAGCAGGGGGCAGAATGAGACTCTGGGACATCCTTTCCAGGTCAGAGTTCGCAGCCTCTTCCTCCCGAGCTCCCGCCTGCTCCTCGGGGCTGACCTGCGGCCCCCGGGGCTGTGGGAGAGGTCAGCCGTGAGCCCACATCAGCGATGCTGCCCCGCCCCCCGCGGCCCCCCAGCCCTCACCTCGCCCTGGTCCGTCTCGATCATGCTCATGATGTCCTTCCGGCCCGGGCTGCCCGGCCCGCTGTCCGGCAGGCTGTCGTTGGCGAGCTGGTGGCCCTGGCGGCGCCGCAGGCTCAGGTTCATGTCGCTGATGCTGCGCCTCAGGTCCGCCCCCCTCTCGATCGGGCCCCGCCCGCTGTCGGCCCCGCCCCCCGAGGCGATGCGATGGCGACGCCACCTCACCCCTGGGATTAACAGTAATCATCATCATCAGCAGCAGCCCCATGGTAAAGAGTTTTTAAAATCTTTTCACAGGTGCCCAGCTATGCCTGCGCCTCACTCCATTCTCAGATTGCTTTTAATTCATCTTGACATCTTACTTGTTTGCGTCTTTCTCTCCCAGCACCCAGCACATCCCATGACCACTTTGCACAGGACTACACATCCCATGAGCACTTTGCACAGGACTACACATCCCATGACCACTCTGCGATGCACTACACTTCCCACAACCACTTTTACAGTAAACTACACTTCCCAGGAGCACTGTGCTCTCCTCGCGCGCCTCTGCGCCCGGATCTGTGCGCGACAGCAGTGTGCTGGGAGCCCTGAGCCGAGCCCGGCTGCTGGCCGAGACGAGCCGCCGCGGGCTTCCCAGTTTCCCCACCTGTGTAGCCGGCGCCTTCCCTGTCCCTCTGCGCCTCCCTCTCTCTCTCCTCCTGCTCGTACTCCTCCCGGCGCCGGATCTCGAAGCGCCGCTCGTAGCCCTCCTTCGGCCTCCACATGTCCAGCAGCAGCAGGGGGCGCTCCCAGGAGGCCACGCCCCTGCGGCACTTGGCCTGCCAGTCGATGCCCCCCGCGGGCCCGGGCAGGGGCCTGCCCACCACGTCGCACAGCACGAAGTCCTCCGGGCTGGGCTTCCTGCGGGCCGCTGGGACAGGGGCGCGGAAGAGGCGGGGTTAGCGCAGGCTCCCGCGGCCTGTCTCGGGGTTCACCCGGGCCTGCACTTCCCCACCCTGTCCTGCAGGGGGCGGCACTGCTGGACGACTCTCATTTTCAGT